GGATTTGCAGTTGTGTTGTGTGATTTGCAGTTGTGTTGTGGGATTTGCAGTTGTGTTGTGGGATTTGCAGTTGTGTTGTGGGATTTGCAGTTGTGTTGTGGGATTTGCAGTTGTGTTGTGGGATTTGTATTTGTGTTGTGGGATTTGCAGTTGTGTTGTGGGATTTGCAGTTGTGTTGTGGGATTTGTATTTGTGGTGAGCCTTCTGCGCCACCGTATATACCGGATATAATATACAAGCAAAGATTGACGTTCCGTTGCTATGCGCAACAAGTGGCGTGTAATTTGTTGTGTACGTTCACTTCCACAAGTTTCTGGGCGCGACACGTCGAATGCCGGAGGCCTAATAGTAATAAGATTTTCATGATGTATGATGACGACATAGAAGGCGAAAACGGCCCCAAAAGCTCATTTTCAATATACTTAGCCGAGGGCGATGCATTATTCAAACAAGGAGAGTACAAAAAAGCGCTGGAGAGTTATAGCACGGTTAGTTTTCAGGAGTTCATTATCAACATCAACTCGATCATCTGCTCAATCGTACTTCGTAGTAAGCCCCCTACTGTGAGACCCCGACTGGTTTAAGTAGTAACCAGTGGTTAATTGTAAAATTGAAGCATTTTACTGTAGACGTAGTGATCTGCCTATTTGATCAAATTTGTCACTTTCCGTCTTCATCATATAGAACATTGGAGATTATGAGGTTATCATGATGAGGTTAAGTTGAGCTGAGGCCGGACCGTAGGCTACTTCGCCTACTACACTAACGAGTCTAGGGAGTAGGCGTAGTAACCCTAACCCTAACCATATCAGATAGTTACCAGGGTACGTTCCGGCAGTACCCTGGGGGACATAGACCCTATGAGCGTTAGGCGATGTTGATCTATCGATTTGATCAATTAATTTCTCTCTCTCTCCTCTCTCGTTCGCTCTCTCTCTCTCTCTCTCTTTGCACTTTGCAGTTCCTTGAACTTTGAAGACTAATCGTTATTGGGTAATGATTTTATGAGGAGCCTGACTCAGGATATACTCAGTGTATGTGATATGGCCTAGACCAGATATAGACTATTACAGTACTTTATTTAAAGCAGGACTCTAGACTCTAGTGCTTATAATTCATGATCCATCAACATCCTTATTACTGTTATTACACACACATCACATTAGATTGAGGCTATCGGCTAGATTTGGTGTAGAAAGAACTGGTAACGAGCATTTCGTTTTAACTTGTTTTTGTCAAAATCATATCTGTCATTGCATGGGTTCTTCTGTATTTCTCATTTGCTACACCTTGAAAAGGCGACATGAACTTGCATGCACTTTGCATGTTATAACACACTATTCAGTGCAGAAGATGTTTTTTTACTATGGATTCCTACCCAATTTCTAATTATAAGTACAGATCAAGGCAATGAAAAGATTAGGGCCACCTGGACCCATGCAGTCTGCAGAGACTCCAACCCTAAGCATCACCTAAACTGGAGATTGTCCAGCCTGGACCCCTTGGCAAACTGGAGACCACACTCTGAGCTCGTGGATCGCGGATTGCGAGCGCCGAAGGCCGCTTGCCCATTATGGTTGGGTCCAGGGGCCTGCCTCAGGGGGCGGGGGTCCAGGGGGCATCCATGACAATGTATATGAAGAGTGTGCGCGAGTAGCGCACACCGCGAGCGCCTTGGCGCAAAGCCCTTAATAGGTGGGGTCCAGGAGCCCGCCCTAGGGCCCCTGTCAGGGTGCAGGGGCAGAGCCCTTACCCGGGGTCCAGGGGGGCAGCGCCCCCGGAAGCTCTTGGATTTTATGTTTTTTTTTAGTATTGAAACAAGCTATTTTTTACACAGTTGTTTGATTCATTTTATTAAAGAAACAAAGTGATATAGTTTGTACAGAACACAGGCTGGTCAAGTGAGAGTCTTCCTCTTTGTATCAATCTAAATGGCAAATGCCAGTACACCCCGATGTAGACATACCAGTGCACCATAATATGTGCGGACAGCTAGATTCCTTTCCTCATTTACGTTATGGAAAACGTAATTACATCATTAACCCATTTACTAATTACTAATGGTAATTAATACATTAAATTCAGTAATTAACATTTTCTGACCATTTTGGCTAATGACGGTTCGTGCAGCATTCGATGAAATATGCATGGCAACACATTAATAATTAATTTTATGGCTCATATTCACTACTATAGTGTAATTACTGTAGTCACTACACCAGGTGTAAGCAGTACATACCTAGGTGTTGCATGAGGCATGTCATAGAGGAAGTCGCTGTGCTTAGTCAACCATTTTATCGTGTAATGCGATGCAGTCATAGTTATTATACTGACATTTTTTGTGGCATGATTAATGACAAATGTGCATACTGTTGGTGATATACTGTGTAGGTCTCATGGCTAAGTCAGTGATATATATATGACATGCTAGCAGGAGGCACTACAATAAGTTTAATCTACAAATTTCATCATGGCATTCAGTGAACACGAGAAAAAACCCTCAGGTGTGGTTACCAAACCTGTGCATGCAACATCAAGGAAGCTACTCTCTCGACGTATGAGTAGCTCGGCTTACACTGTTCAAATGATTGAGCAGTTACAAAAAACTCTACCTGCTAGCAATAAAAAGAAGAAAAGATTTGTGCATTATGCAGGTGCAGTTAAAGCAACGGTGCGAATATCAATGCTTCGTAGAGGAGCATACAAGCCAGTCATGGCCTGGGGGGAGCCGTCGCAAGATTCGCCAAATACATCACTTTCATCGGCACTAGTTTCCTTGAATCATACACTAGCAGCCATACCAAACACTACTGGCAGGACTGTTATTGCTCACTCAGGCACAAAGTATAATCTTCGTCCCCATAAAGCAATGAAGACGAGTGACAAGATTATAAATACTTTTACATCACGTCATGCCGCTGCCAGATCTGTACTTATGCCTAGGGATTGTGAAAGGGGCTGGATGCCATTTCAGCATGCCAATAAATTTTGTCGAACTCAGGAACTTATGTTTAGCGCTCTGTTAGAAAGAGCAAAGTTTCAAATCAGACATAGTGATTACCTGCAAGCATTAGTTCCACTCAATGAGGTACTGGTATGTTTTAGAAACGGTGTCAAACAGTTTAAATCCTTAATGGTAATCTAGTGTAAGTGCTTTGTGTATTGAAATGTAAAATAGATATATTATCTAATGCTATCTTCAATAGTCGGGGCAGCTATGTTACATGGTTGCATGCTAGAAACTCCCATGTGTTAGTTAACATAATGCTCAATTAGTTTGTGTATATGCTACTGTATATGTGCTAGCATGTAACTGGAACCTACTGTTATGTGATAGGCACTAGAGATTCAACCAACAGACAAGAATGCACTAGTGGCAAGATCCAAATGCTACTTGCAACTAGGTGATGCACAGGCTGGACTTCGAGATGCTGAGGCTGCTCTGGCAACAGATAAAGACTTCAATAAGGTCAGCACATGAAGTATCGACTTCCTGTCTACATAATAAACCCATATCAAATTAATAATATCATAGTACAACATAATGCTACTATAATATGACACGTTGACTTGTTATAGTATATCAGCACATTCTGCCTGGTATTTTTCTAAAAAAGTGTGTTGTTGTGTAATGAAACAATAAAGATCTCGTAGGGAATCTACTGTAGAAAACATCAATAAATAGATCGGTAATTCATCTCATAGATTGATTTGATATACTAAATAGGTGCAGTTTTGTAATGCAATGGATTGTTGGCTTCTAAATCCAATCAGTATGCATAGGTTGTATTGTTGCCTGTAAGTGCTATGCATAATTGTAATGAATGTATTTACAGGGTCTGTATCAGAAAGCGGAAGCTCTTTATGCAATGGGTAACTTTGAGTTTGCTCTTGTGTTCTACCACCGTGGTCACAAACTTCGACCGGAATTGCAGGAATTTCGCCTAGGAATTCAAAAAGCTCAAGAAGCCATTGATAATGCTATTGGAAGTAAGTATTGTGATACTGTTCATGACCCAAAGTTATAAACCAGTAGTCTATGTAGATCATCAACATACCTAAACATTTATATCCTATGAGTCAAATTAAAAATGAAGAAGTCATTCTTCTTGGAGTAAAAGTTAATGATATATTTTGTTCTTGAAATAAATTTTATTTTTTTACCTTACCGGTAAAATCGATTAAACAATTTTTCAGGTCCATCTTCTGTGAAACTGAGAAGTAGGGGGGATAGTTCCTTTCTTGCTACCCAGCAGGCAGCAAGAAAGAGTAATATAGTATCAACTGCTGCCAGAATGCAGGCGACAGCTGGAATATCTATGAAGACAAGCAGAGATCCCCCTGGTGGAGTTAAAAGTGACAAAACAATCAAACAACTCCTAGGAGAACTGTATGCTGACAAAGAATATCTAGAAAAATTGCTAAGAAATGATGGTATAATATATTTAATAATTTTAAATGAATTAAATGTATTTAATTAAGTAGACTGTTATTACATGTTAACTTTCAATTGGAAGAATACTTGCTGTGTAATATATATATATATATATATATATATACGTCTGTGCGAATTGGGCCTGTTCTCGTCTCTTGCAGAATTAACCAAAACTAAGACGGAGACAAGTGTCAAGATCTGTGAGTTGATTAATGAAGGTCTCCACTACTTGGATACAAGGACTGAGTTCTGGCGTCAACAGAGACCAATTTATGCGAGAAAGCGTGACAGTGCCAATGCCAGAAGAGGGCGCCTCAGAGTGAAACCAGTGGCTGCCTATAGTCGTGCTGTCAGGGCCATTATGAAAGTTCTAGAAGAAATTGATTATGGTAAATTGGTAATGTGGGTTACGGTGACAGCGAAATGGTGAAGGTTAATTTTGGTAGGTGTAGGTTGTAACTCATAGCTGGTTACTTATTGAGAAAGAAGACCAATAGCATCATTTGTTTGCATGCAAGTGAGTAAATGTATTGTTGATGTATATATATTGTAATGATTCTTGTTTGCCATCTTTTAATTTTTTACAGAAGAAACTCGATCAGTTGTGATGCATTGTCATCAAAATTAGTAGAACTCATACAGGGGCAGGCATGCCTTATACTGCAGTTTTCAATTGTTGTTAGCTGTAAAGTAAAATGTCAAAGTTGAGACATTAGAGCCTTCAATTTTGCTATAATTTTTAACAATTTATACAGAGCAAGCAAAGGGCAAGTACCAGACCAGTTTGAAAAAAGCACAGAACCTGATAAAGCCTATTCAGAACCTATCCGAGAAGGAGTGCTCTAACAAAGCAGAACTCCAATGCACACTGTACAGCTACATAGGGAATGCATACCTGGAGCTGGGAAATCGAGACAAAGCTTTGCAGTTCCACAAGAAAGATCTGGAAATATCACAGGCCAAGTGAGTTTTGTACAGACTAGAAGCAATTTTAAACAAATTTCTAATATCAGAATGCTATGAATCTTGTATACATGTGTTAGCATGTACGTGTTTTTAATTGTATTTTATAATTGCCTTTGTTCGTATAATCCTAAAACTTATGACAATGTAAGATTGAAAAGTAAATATGTAGGATGGCAGTGAGTAATAGGCTTTTTGATTTGTGAGTTTCATGGAAATACAGATATGGATTGTTTTGATGTCTTCGTAATGCACTAACTTGTCTGTCTGCAGTGGTTTGGCAGAAAGCAAATCAAGAGCAATGGACAACCTGGGAAGAGTCTACGCTCGTTTTGGAATGTTCAAGAATGCTATAAAAATGTGCGTTTCTTGCATTTCGAAATGTATCTGAGATAGAGAGAGCGAGAGAGTGCAAGAGCGAGCAAGAGAGAGTGAGAGAGAGAGAGAGAGAGAGAGAGAGAGAGAGAGAGAGAGAGAGAGAGAGAGA